GGCTTTGGGCATGTTTCTATGAGAGTGTAACATTATAACATGACATAAAACTCAAAAACGTTGATTTTACATGATATTGCCCCTTTAAACTTTCATGATTTTGCCTCGTAGAATCGCTACGTTTGATGCGAATCTGTAGCTTTCTATTAACCTGCCCATGTTTTTCGAGCAGACTGGATGGAGGGGAAAAAAACTGGATCTTATCTTCGTGTCACTCAAACCTGAAGTGTCTGTTTGCTTCAGCGTGATTTATTACAGTGGTTTCACAGCTCGCCCAAAAACTACGATTCCTCCGGTACCCCTCATTAGCAGTCTGCTCTTCAGGAACGCTCTGGCTTTCCAGTTGGTACAAAAGAAAGGGACAGCTGTTCACAGCCACCAGGGAATCAAATTTTGTTTGTTTTCTTTTGCAAGCAAAAGCTACATGCCTGAAATTTAAACTATTATTTTGCCCATGTGTGTGTAGCCTCTGGAGCAGAGGATTTGCCACATGTGGGATCATCCAGTCAGTTCAGCTTCAATCTCCAGAGATTACGTCAAAACTCTGCTGGAGAAACACAGCAAAAATAAGGTAACGTAGAAGAAAGTGTCCCGTGTGCTGCAGACATGAGAAAAACAAAAACCTAATCCTTTCATCTTTAAAGCGACTTGTCTCAGGAGCTGCCACAGATATGTCTTTATGTGTCTCCTTCTCAGGGAAGTCCGTTCACAGGGAAAGACAAGCCAAGCTTCAGACCTGAGTTTCTGCCTTTAACCTGCTTGGCAAAAACACTCTCTAATATTGAAGCACAAGGTAAGAGTGTGTGTGTGTGTCCTGCTTGGTCCAGATATGAAGGCCTTTGGAGGATTTATGTGCAAGCTTGGCTAAAAAAGAAGTAAAAAAGCTGCTATCTCTGAGGAGCAGGGAGTGTGGAAAGWTGTAATGTTGTGTCCTCTGGTTTCTCTTTTTCAGCCCTGAACCCGTTCGAGGAGCAGGAGAACGTGGACGCCCGCTTCGTGGAGGAGACGGCTCTGATGCAGACGCTGGTGCAGCTGGGCTTCGAGGCCAAATGAAGGACGTGGGAAAGGAATAAAAAAGAGGAGGATGAGGGGCCAGGGTGGGTGGATGGATTGGAGCGGACGAGTTGCCTCTGACTGGGCCTTGAAGACGTGGAACTGATGGACGTTCGGGGGCGAAAGATGAGGCAGTTTGCTCATAAACAAGTTCTCCGTGTTTGACGAATTCAGGCGGGACCGAAGGCAGAGATGGATGGAATCGTGGGCAGAATCCACCTGCTCGAGAGGCAGAGCATCACCTTATTAAAAACCTGCACACAAACGTGAACAGCGACAAAAAATAAATAAATAAATTACACCAACTTCAGCTGGAGGGAAATTTATACTGGAACTTTTTTACCGCAGGCAGCTATTTATGCAAAACAAAARAAACTCTTTAGCAGCTCCAGTTCTCCCCCTCCAAATTCTTTCCTCCATACAATTAATGAACATGGGCCTCAAACATTATTAATAGTATTTATAAATCAAACAAGCTTATTTCTTCCCCTCCTTCCTTAATGCTGCTGCATCCCATCAGCTTGATTACGTGCTGACAAAAGCTTTACAGACGGCGAGCCTCGATATGGGCTGCTGTGCATTAAATCCGATTTTGACACTTATTTGTACGGAGYCTTTGCAGCTGAATGCATAAACGCACAGACTGGCATCCAGATGCTGTGTGGAGTCGGCATTAGAAAGTCACAGGAAGTCATTCTAACCACCCGGTAGGAAGTTCTAAAAGTCTTTAAATCTCATCTCATGATTATAAAAAGACTCCTAATCAATGTTTTCATCAAATCTTGACACTTAAAACTACTTAAAGCACACGCATCAAACTCAAGGCCAGCGGGCCAAATCTGACCACATTAACATTGCGTATGGCCCCTAAAGTGTAATAGTTTTATGGTTTCTCTTTTTGTCTCTGTATTTACCGCAAGCTCCTCATAACAGCTGAGAAAATTAAGTTTGAATTTTTCAGTAATCTTTGATTTTGGTGCAGAAAAAGTAACAGAATTGATTTAATTATCTTTTACTGTATTTGTTTCTTGTTTTAAAGTCAAATATTTAGATTTTTAATGAGGGTTTTCTTTTTTTTTTTTTTTTTACCAGATTTGCTGGATTGTGTTAATATGTATTTTTAAAATATCATAAATAAAAAAGTTGTTGATAGAGTAAAACAGAAGTAGTATTTTTCTTTATCTGTTAAGTTTTATGTATGTTCTAAATGACACATAAAATACAAATTGGAAAAGGTCATTTGTATTTCTGTATTAATAATTTGTTATTCATTTTTTCAATAAATATTGACAGGAACTGGCTGTTAACTTGGACCACGTTTTAAATGTTGGTCCCTTTGACACCTTGATTTAATGTAATTATTTAGATTTTTTTTAATGGGGTTCTCTGGAGTTACCAGCAGTCAGTATCTTACCTGCAGTAGATGGCACTCAATCATCTCAGTTTAGATAACAAAAAAAGGAGTTCTGAACAAAAAGCCGCTCTAACAGCTAGTTCAACTGTGGCCCACTTAAAGAGGATTTATAATGTTTCAAAACAGTTAAAAAATGTTATAGTGGCTCATGAATCGTTATTTTATAAATCTTTARACCTGCAGAGGTTTGGGTTATTTGCACTAAAACATGCTGGTTTGCAGTTCATTAAAAGCCATAAAGAAAAAAAATTGTATAGGTCTTCTGGACGGGTTCTTGTCTAATGAAACGTTTCGTCTCTCCTCCAAGAGACTTCTTCAGTCTGAGAGTTTCAGGCAAAATTCAGGCTTTTAAGCACTGCCTCCATGTGACTGATACTCACATCACATGGCTATRGTTGACACCTAATTAACACCTATTGTTAACAGGGGGTGGAGTGATACTGGCAATGGCAGCACTATAGGAGGGGGACAACTGAAAACGGAGGCCTCCACCTCTGTTTAATGATGGACTGTCTTTCTTCACAAAAATGGCTTCTTTTACTCCTCTCTCAAACCAACGTTCCTCTCTATCAAGAATGAGAACATCCTCATCTCTGAAAGAGTGACCGCTGGCCTGTAAATGAGTGAAAACTGCAGAGTTCTGGCCATTAGAATTAGCTCGTCTGTGTTGGGACATTCTTTTGAACAGTGGCTGCTTTGTTTCCCCAATATATAACTGGTCGCAGTCCTCCTGGCACTTAACAGCATATACAATATTGCTCTGTTTGTGCCGGGGCACCGGATCTTTGGGGTGAACCAGCCTTTGCCGTAATGTGTTTTGGGGTTTGAAAGCCACTGGGACATCATGTTTAGAAAATAAACGTCTCAGTTTCTCCGAAACACCRGCAACATACGGAATAACCACTGGTTTGGGTCTGGGTTTGGGGTCTTCATTTTCACCTGAAGGTTGCATGGAYTCCTGTCTGTGTTTCCTGTCTGCTTTCAGGAAAGCCCAGTCAGGATAACCACACTGCTCCAGGGCCTGTCGTGTGTGTGATTTCTCTTTCTGCCTGGCTCCTGTGTTTGTAGGGACACTGTCTGCTCTGTMGTACAGAGTCCTGATCACTCCTAACTTGTGTTCCAGTGGGTGGTGGGAGTCAAAACGCAAATATTGGTCTGTGTGGGTGGGCTTACGATACACGCCAGTTTCCAAACGTCCTCCATCTGAAACCGAGACATCGCAATCCAGGAACGCCAACCTGCCATTTTTTACATCCTCTCGTGTGAACTTTATACATTCATCCACAGAGTTGATGTGATCAGTGAAATMTTGGACTTCCTGGGCTTTAATTTTAACCCAGGTGTTGTCAACATATCTGAACCAATGGCTCGGTGGCACTCCAGCCCCTGTTAACAATAGGTGTTAATGAGGTGTCAACGATAGCCATGTGATGTGAGTATCAGTCACATGGAGGCTGGGCTTAAAAGCCTGAATTTTGCCTGAAACTCTCAGACTGAAGAAGTCTCTTGGAGGAGAGACGAAACGTTTCATTAGAGAAGAACCCATCCAGAGGACCTATACAATTTTTTTCTTTTTGATTTTTTACCTGGATTACTGAGATGCATCAGGACATTAAAAGCCATAGTTCTTATTTGACTTGTATTGCAAATAAAACATTTTAAGGGCCACCTTATTTTATGTTATTTTCTTCAGTTAGCTGCACTTTGTATGGATCATTGGTAACGGACAGCAGAACGACATGGTCTTCAGTGTAACAAACCAGGTCATATTTAACAAAGACGTTTTATGCTTGTTTTATACCCCCAACATTTAAATGCTTTCTCATTGTGTTTAGAGTAAACAAATGGCTCATTGTCCCCCTGACTGCCTCCCCCACACTCTGTTATGCAGCCAGTGTTATGTAGTGAGCGAACAGCGAGGGGCCGAGTTAACCTGACAGCTTTCAGCATGACGCTGCAATGGATGATCACACACGCACATCATATCACCGGGTTACCTCTTTAAAAGTTGACTCACGCAGCGAGCAGCAACCAGCCAGGTCTCACTCGGCACACCAGCCCTTTCTACAACACTTTTGTTTTAGACTTTTGTTTTTGATCCACGTTTCTTTCAAAAATCTTTAAAACTTTGCTGTATCCTCATTATTTTCAGTTTATCTGTTTTTTCTTTGTTTTTAGAGATTCTTGAAAACTTTTTTTTGCCACCTATTCGCGATTTACTTTTTTGTTTGAAAAAAATTCTCCCCGGCAGACACCCCCGGCATTTTTTCTTAGGAGCTTCAAGGGGAATCAACTTAGTTTTTGGTCACAAGAAACTGAACTCTCCAGTCAATTTACAGCCCCCCTTTCATCCCGTTTTTTTTTTCTTCACTTCGACTCTCCTCTGCTGCCTTCTCTCGCTGCTATCCGCTTCATTTAATATCCCCTTTCTCTTTGTCATTCTCTATGCTCTTTCACTGCTCCAGCTTCTTTCTCCAGATTTATCATTTCAGGCAAAATGCAGGCGCCCCTATCCTTGCACAAAGCTTAAAACCCCCCCGTTGCAATTTATTCAAAGATTACAACCGTGAAGGGCAGAAACAACAACAAGGCTGAAAAATGTTTAGGAATATTCAAGGCGTCCCTGAGAAATGAGTTTGTTTTCCAAGGAAAAGAAAGTCCAAACAGTTACGATACGTTGCTGGCCGCTGAAATTAATACAAAACTCTACTGGTGAACATTATGTAACACATTTCTCCCTGAATCCATCATCTTCACTGTCATTTACGGTACTTAGTGGTGCTGGAAGCTGAGTGTAAACAGTGCCAGTAAATTTATATAAATATAAAAAAAAAGAAATAACTCCAAACAGATGCAGCTCAAATGACTAAACTGTGGTTTAAACTGAAAAGAACCAAGTCAAAAGAAAGGAGCATAACATGGAATTTTAAAAAGTAAAAAGGCATCCTTCAAATTCTCCTTTTTGTAATAGTAATTCCTATACATTTTTAATGGATTTTTTTGATATTGTAAAAAAATAAATAAAAAAGACGTGGACGTATATGTTCTGCAGTGATTTACATACGTGTGATGTTTATTTCATCTCCGAGGGTTTGGGTGTTGGTTTGCGGATGTGCCTCATGTTGGCCCCCGGTTGGGATGGTTTGAAGGGGGCTAGAGCGCCGTAGGGTTTGGGCAGAGGAAGAGAGGCGTTCTGGGGGATGTACGCGTCGGGGCGGGCTTCAGCCGTGGTGTACACTCCGTTTGGCAACTGGCTCCATTCATCCTCAGCGAGCTGCGCACACACACACACACACACACACACACACACACACACACACACA